AACCAACAAGAGATGGTTGATTCCAGCACCCAGAGAAGCATAGTTTCAAGGGACTCTGTTCCAGGGGAGACTTATTTGTAGGGGGTGTGGACCGCCAGGCAGCACTCACTGAGGGTGTATCTTGTAGAGTGTGCCATCCACGCCCACTGTGGTCCGTAGCCGTGGCAGCTTCTTGTTCTCCCGGAGTCGAGTCAGGATGGCTGCCAGGGCCGCTGCACAGAGGTTGGCTGAGCGGAAGGAGACGATGGTGCAGACATGCTGGACCGCAATGCAGTCAGCCTCCGAAGGCTCCAGGCCCAGATCCGTGAGGATCTCTCTTGTATTGGCAAGGCCTTCTTTATACCTGGTCAGGCGACAGGAATGAGAGGGCCACACTATTCCATCCCATGGGAGTCTCCCTCAAAACCAGCTTTCTCACCTCTCAGGACTGTGAAGATAAATAGGCTGGCACATAGTAATATAATAATAATAATATTAACAATGATCATAGCTGCCACCATTTATTGAACACTCACTATGTGCCAGGCACTAGGCTAAGGATTTGACATGCATTAACTTAATCCTCACAACAATCCTGGGGGAAGTACTATCATTACCCTATTGTACAGAAGAGAGGCCTGAGGTACAGAGTAAGTAATTTGTCCATAGTCACACGGCTAGTAAGTTCAAGGACAAGGATTTGAACTCAGGCAATTAAATTATAGAGCTCACCCTTTAACCACTCTGTACTATACTGCCTTTCACTGAAACTTAGTCCCTGACAAGCTCTGCACAAACACAGACTCTGAGAGTCAGAGGCCACTTAGCTGAGCTCAGAATCCAAACTGATTCCAAAATCCAGAGCAATGCCAGTGTTTCTAAGCTGGAAGAACAGGACCCTGAGTTGACTAGGGCTTCAAATCACCAAAGGCAAAGCCAGTACCCAAAAGTACCAGGTGGAGAAGGCTCTTGCCGTAGCAGGAGTTCTGAACTTGGATTCCATGCATGGGCTTTAATGGGTCCAAGGATGCCCTGATATTATAAGCAAAAATGTGTGCGAATGTATATTTGGGGTATAAAGGGTCCAGAACTTGAATCAGATTCTCAAAGGGGTCTGTGACCCTAAAAAAGTTATAAATCGCCACTTTAGGGAGGAAGAAGGCAACAAAACATGAGGAGGGGTTAGATCTCCATAGGCTGATGAAACCAACAAGAAGCCACGTCTGCGTTATGGCAGGTATTGCTAACCCACGTGAATCTGTGCCTAGGTCGAAAAGCGTTCTAGTAGAGAAGGAAAAGCTGATCCCTTCTGTTATACCACTACATGAGCACACCACACCTTGGCCAACCCTCACCCTCTCAGAGTCAAGGTGGGAGGAACCCAGCCAGAAGCTTACTTCTCCATGGCAGCCACGTGCCGTGTTTCAATTTTGCCCTTCGTGTGGAGCGTGGAGGATATCTTGCCACCAAACAGGAGGCCTGCCTTGGCCATCTTCAACAAGACGAGCCTGACGAGTTCACCTAGGTACAGGCCGCTGATCATCTTCTCAAATCTACAATTTGGTGAACAGATCAGTGGCAAAAACGCCTTTGGTTATGCAGCATCCTTTCCCAAAGCCCATGAGCCATGGCCTGTGGTCAGAAGCATGACTGGTGGGAGGGCCACTCCATGGGTCTGGAGGCCTCGGTCCCCATCTCAGCTTGGGGTGGCCTCTCTGAGCTACACTCTCTTCACCTATAAAAGGGGAGGACTAAATTAGAAGAAACCTAAGATTCCTTCCTGCTCACAAAGCATTTGATTCCAAGAATCTTTATCTTAACACCCTGGCCATTGGGGGACACCATTCCCATGTTAGGCATTAGGAATCTGAACTTCAGAGACTTCAGGCACTTTCCCAAACGTGGCATGATATATCCAAATTTCATTCTAACCCCTACTCTCGGCTTCTGTCCAAGAGAAAAGGATGCTGTGTCCGTGAGATGGGCTTAGACAGCCCCAAGGAGGTTCCACAATAAGGTGGATGAAATATCCCCCCCAGACTACCTAATCTGGACTCTGAGTCTATATCCAAGAAGCAAGTACTAATTGTACTAATTGTCTCCCAGATAAGCTATTAAAAACAATTTTTATTTTCCAAATATAATACGACACAAAATCAAGGACAACCTGTTTCCTAATCAACTTTATCTCTTTCATTATAAAAAGTCTTAGAACATTACAGAGACAGAAGACAAAAGAAATCCAGGCTGGCTTTGGAGAAATGAAATTTAAGTGAAATGGAGAGGGAGAGGATGATAAAGTCCAAAAATGGGCACCACTTCCTTGGGCCATGACCACTCCATGTCACCAGTGAAACAGGTATGCGCTGGGGAGCGGGTGCATCTGAAACAGAAATCTGCTTTCCAGGCATTCAGTTCTATGTTTGAATGATTTCTAGGAGGTATTTAAAACACTTATTCACCAGGGCTTCTTGAAAAAATGGTTGATACTGGGGCCGGGCTAAAAAAATGCACAATAAGCCTGGAGCATCTTACTGTGCCAGAAAAAAAAAAAAGTGATAAAGAATACGTCAAAAGGACAAAGGGGCTAGCTTGAAGTAAAGGGGCTTTGACTGAACAAATCTGAAAAAAAAATTGAACATCGAAATAAATAATGATAGGAAGAAATTATAACTCATGAAATAAAAAAAAAATCCATGAGTCCGTATTACTATAAATAGATAAATGGAGAGGATGGAAAGCTATTCCTTACAGTATAGTAACAACTAATAAACATAGAGGGAATATGGATTTAGACAGTCTTCAAAAGGATGCTAAAATTAGAAAATGAAAGTTTAATGAGAAATAGGATATTTACAGTCTCAGTGTACCTTTTCACCTGATACTCATTAATTACAGAGGGAATAATAATTACTTTATGGTAGAGAAACCTGTTGCACAGCCCTGTAACCAAACAATTCACCAGTAATGGAACAAACATGTCCCTCCAGATATGCTGCACTGAAGAGCATGCACATCGATTGTGGGATATTCCTGCCAAAATGCACCGCCTGAGTCTAATCATGAGGAAACAGACAAATCCCAGTCGAGGAACGTTTTATAAAATAAATGGCTTGTATGCTTCAACATCATGAAATACACAGAGATACCACAGAAGTGTTTGAGATTAAAGGAGGCTGAAGAGACATGGCAGCAAAATGCAGTGTGTGACACTGGACTGAAGCCTGGACCAGGATAATTTTTTTCTTTTTTATGAAGAACATAGTGGGTCAGCTGGTGAATTTTGAATAAGGTCTCCACATTAGATATTAGAACTGATTAAGTGTTAATTTCTTAATTTTGATAATTATATTTTGGTTAAGAGAATGTACTTGTTTTCAGGTAGCACTTGCAACATAGTCTCGAATGGTTCAGAAAAATAATTTTACACAGACGTACTTGTTTTCAGGTAGCGCTTGCAACTTAGTCTCAAATGGTTCAGAAAAAATAATTTTACACAGACATGTATGTTTTTTATGTACATGTGTATTTTATATGTCTATATATACACATATACACACAAATTTACAGAGTGAATGTTACTATTTAGGGAATCTGAATAAAGGGAAATTTTGTATGATTTTTACAACTTTTCTCTAAGTCCGAAATTACTTTTTATAATTTGAAACTTTTTTTATTCAACTAACACCTAATGAGTTGCAATAATGTGTGAGACACTATGTGTAGAAAGGAAATAAAAACCACACAGCCTGCCTTCACGGAGTTCAGCATGTAGGCAGAGCTGAGGCAGACTCGAACTAGTTCTACTACAGGTGAGTGCGGGATGAGAGCTGAGAAAGACTCCATGAGAACTGAGGCTGGGAAAGAATTACACCAGGTGCTGTGTGATTAAGAAAGCAGGATGGCGGGGGAGCATTGGAAACACAGATGAAGAATCTGGCTGAATCCTGCTTCCTCAGACTGCACTGGTTTGTTCTGAGGCCCTAGTCCAAATACACCAAGTCACCTGGTTCACACCTGTATCTCCCCTGCCTCATACTTACGTGGTCCAGAAATATGGATTGGGTTAGAATTGGGGTTATGACCTAGGGGAAATGACTCCATTTCCTTGGCTTCACTTTCCTCATCTGTCCAATGAAACCGAAATATAAGCTTTGCCTCATAAGCTCATTGCGATGGGTAACTAACTAGTCACAACTAAAAAGCCTCCCAGGTATAAAGTGTCCTTGAGCGATTGGGCGTTTCCTGGTGCTGATGCTCAGATCACAGCTGGAAGGTACTCACAGCTGCTTCCCAGGGTTGAGAGAGCCAAGGTCCAGATCCAGGTCAAACTCGGTGCGGATGTCTTCCAGGGCCCCATCGTCCCCAAAGGCCCCCCACTCGGTGTTGATGCACATCCTCCCCTCGTCACCTTCCACCAGGTCAATGTTGCTCATGTCCTCCATGTAACACGCGTTGGTGCCAGTACCTGAACAAGGGGTCAGAGAGAATGTGCAGTGATGGAAGGGCCCCCAGCTGGGTAGAGACAGAGAGAACTCTCAACGCCTGAGAGGCCTCTGAATGTACCACAAAGTGCTTTTGATCCACTCTCGGGGCTGGTTCTCAGTGAGGGAAGCAGCTTTGGCAAGTCCGGGAAGTTCATGAGGAATAAAGCTGACATGTCAAGTCTACACTTCTCAGGGTGTTAATGGTTTGCTGTGATGAATGGAGTCAATTGTGAAGAAGTATCTGATGAATATGTATGAAAGCTAACAAAGCGCACATACAAAGAGGATGAGTTAACCTAACCTTCTAAATATATATTTTTTAAATCTCTAACCCACAGTAATTTCTTTAATCCTTTCCCTAAGCTACTTAACCTCTTCTCTATTTGATACTAAAAATATTCTTTACTCAGGGCCTGCCCCAAATTGTTCCTAGCATAAGCTACATCTTTATCTTTGTCAGTGATTAGCTATCACATAAGAAAGTAACATTCCACATTCAAAGACAAAATCACTCCAAGGAAATGCCTCAAACACGTGAATATTGGTGGGTGACTGCAAATGGGCACCATCTGTTTGAGACCTATTGGGATGATGGAAATGTTATAAAATTGGATAGTGGTGATGGTGACAGAACTCTGTAAATTTACTAAGATTCATAGAATTGTACACCTAAAATGAGAATTTTTATGCCTTAATAAACTGTTTGTTTGTTCATTTGTTTGTTTTTCAAATATCTTCCCCTGGCTGATACTAAAGCCAACATAAGAAATGTTAAAGCCAACATAAGAAATTAGAAATGTAGAGAAGCAGAATGTAATACAATATTTGAAAAAAGGTTTTTCTTAGAAAAGCATGGACAGTTTTTCTTAGAAAAGCATGGACACTGTTTAGGCATGTCACCCAAACTGTGGGTTACCTGACGTTGTCACCAAGACAGACACAGAGGACAGTAGCTGGATGCCATGACTGGCAAGTGCCCATCCCATTCTGAGGTATGGGGCCAAAGAAATGGGAAAGTAGATCAAGCCCCTCAGGTGTAAAGATCCTGCCTTTGGGAAAGTAAGGCTGAGGAAAGTGTGGTTAGCAATTAAGAAAGAGCAATTCAGAAAACTTTTTCCAATAGTGGTAAAGGAATGGGGAGGCAGAGGGTATATTCAAGGGGATATCCAATCCAGTTATTGTCCCCCAAAGTGCCTTCCAATGGACCCCTCCAGCAGAGCCCCTCCCAGCTCAGGGACCCACCCACCGGATGCCCCCGTGCACTGCTATCTCCCTGGTCCAGGCCTCCACTACGTCTTGCCTGCACAGTGCGATGGCCTCTTGGCTGGTCACCATGATTCCACGCTTCCACCAACAGTCAATTTTCCACACAGCAGCCAAAATAAACTTTTTAAAAGTGCATACCCCACTTATCCATTCCCACCCAAAGTCCTCCAGTGCCTACCTCTTTTTGGGGTAAAAGCCAAAGACCCTACAGTGACTATGTCTGTGTCCTGTGCAATCTGCCCAGTCCCATCTACCCTCTCTAACCTGAGCAGCCTACTATTCTCAGCTTTCACTCCTTTGAGCCCCCACTCAGACTTTTATGGTTCCTTGAGCATCCCAGACTCATTTCCATCTCAGAAGCATAGGTTTCCTCTTCTTTGCCAAAGACTCTCTTCCTCTTGATCCCCACTTTGCTCTCTCCTCCCCATTGCTGAGGTCCCTGCTCAAATGTCACCCCTCAGAAAGGACTGCCTGAGCACCCTACCACACTCACTCTCAGTCACAACACCCTGCTTTATTTTCTTTATCAGTAATCACCACCTGACATTATCTTATTTGTTTAGGTCTTTTTAGCCTTTCACCCACCTTTCCACTGAAAGCTCCGTGAGTACAGGAAGCTTTGAGTATTAACTCACTACTGAGAACCCAACACACAGCACAGGGCTTGACACACAACAGGCACTCAGTGAACACTTGAATGAATGAGTGGTTGTGTGTATTAATTTTTCATCTTTCTGTGTTGTTTCTCCTAAACAGAAAGCACCAATACCCTTCCCACTGAATTTACTCAGAGTCTGCTGAAACTAAGCCCCAAAACAGTCCCTTTCCCCCACCCCCAGAACACAAGTCAAATTGAGTTACCGATGATGACACCGACTTCGCAGTAGGGATCATCATAGGCGCATGTCATCATGGTCCCCACGGTGTCATTGACCAAGGCCAGGATGTCCACATCTATATCCTATTGGAACACAAGCCCCAGAGGGCATCGGTGGGTGGGACAAAGGTATTACCCCTTTATCTTTCCCCACATAGGAAGCAAAAGCAGTGAAGGTGACTGGTTGAGACAATCACTACATCCCACCTGCTGGGCCTGCTTGGAAGATGCAAGGCTTCTGTCAAGGTTCAGGGGTCTAGCGGAAAGAAAGACCAGTTGGGAGCTGAAGAGGGGAACCCATGCTCCTGCTTTATGGTCCAAGGCCTCTGCGCAACGGAAATAAGAGAGACGGCCCACCGGGACGCCAGCCCTTGTTTGAAGGACCCTGAGGAAAAGATGTTTATCTTGGGAGCAATGGTGATTCCAGGAGAAAACAACAAAGCCCTCACCTCTGGGGACACCTTAGTCTCAGCCAGGTCCTCTCTGTGAGCAGCACCATGGGTTTCCCGCCCAAAGCCCTCACCTCTGGGGACACCTTAGTCTCCAGACTAAGGTCCTCTCTGTGAGCAGCACCATGGGTTTCCCGCCTGGGTTTCCCATTCTGCCAGGTCAACCTGGGTTATTGCACCACGGTTCCCCAAGGTTTAGGGGAGTATTTTAAAGTAAAATGAAAACAATAAGAGGAGAACACAGACTACCAGAGAATACTATCGCAGAAAAAAGAGAAAAAAAGACTGGAAAGGTATACATCGAAATACTCCTCTTGCTGTCAGGGTAACAAAATAATTTGGGTTTATTTGTGGACTTCACAACTAGCAAGGAGCATGTCTTGCTTTTTGGTTATTTAGATTATTGTAAACTTTATTCAACAGAGATATTCTACACATGGAGGGTGGAAAGTGGAATAGAGAGCCAAACTGGAAAGAAAGTAATCTTTTAAGCCTCAGAGAGGAAAGGTGGGGGTTGGAGCATTACACACAACATGGCATCTAACCAAGATCCCTGGAGGGGGCTGTGGCAGCTGGGGAGGCCCCAGGGCTGTTTGGCCCAACGGGAACAAGCTCTACATACCAAGGCTCACCAGTGGGTTTATCTAAATTGGCCACGTCTGCACTACAGTGAGACCTTCCCAGAGATGGATTCCTTCTCTGATTCTCCTTCCAGGGCAGGCCCAGCGTGAGACTCCTCCCCTTAAGAGAAAGGTGTCGGGACTGGGAGAGCTCCCTACGCCGAGGCCAGTTCCTCACCTTGTGCTTTTTCATAGCTTTGGTCAGACAGTTCACTACATCTGTGTCCTGAACTCCCCGTGCCTTAAATTTCTTCGTCCATGAAAGCAGGACACCCTGGAGGAAGAATTCAGATCCAGTTAAAGCCAAGAAGGCACTCGGTTTTGAAAATGAGCTGCAGCAATTTTATGCTTGAAGTGTACGTGCCTCCCTCACCTCCCCCCACCGCCTTCTCTTCTTTAAGTTGAATCACCCCAATTCTTTCAACGTTTCCTCAGAGGCATTTTCTAATCATTTAAACATCTTTATTACTCCCATCTGAGCAGTTTGAAACATCACACATAGTGGCGGAAAGAACAACTGCTAAAGAAGAGTCAGAACATTTGGATTCACAAGCCATCCGGCAAGTCATTTAACCTCTCTGACCCTCCGTTCACTCGAATGTAAAATGGAAACGTCACTTCCCTGCCTGTCACAGAAATTGCTCTGATGGAAATACCTGGTGTGTGCTAGATGCACATTATGTGTACAGAATGCATGGTTTGCCAGGTCCACAAGACAGAACTAGCATGGTGTTACTTTGTAAAACTCCCCCAGGAATTTAATTTCAACTTAGAAAAATGGTTCTTCATTTTCATCATCACTTATTTGCTTAAAATTGGTGTTTTCCAAGAGTTTTATGTTAAAATAGCAAATAATCATAGAATTTTTCAGACTGGAAGAAAACTTGGGAGTTGAGACCTGCCCAAAGCCACACAGTCAAGAATGGCTGAGCTCAAACTCACAAACAGTCTGATCACACCTGCCCAAACTCCGTCAGTTTATGGATAAAGAAGCCGAGATTTAGAGAGGAAGGAAACTGCTCTAGGTGTCACAGGGCGTAAAGGACAGAGGCTCAACTGGAACGCAGGTCTCAGACTCCCAACGGGACCGTGGGCTTTTCCCCTGCACCACAGCACCACCTAGTGGCAGCTCTCCCTAACTTCTGCCTTGATAGGCTTTGGTAACATCCTGCTTCATCTGAGAAACTGTGGGGTGGCATCCCCTCCAAAAGGTGCTAAGGGTAATGTGGGACCTGTAGGATGAGAGTATATGCGGGTGTGGGGAATAAATGCTTGTGATATACTGTTAAGTAAAAAAAGCATTGGATACGACTATATTTTTTTAAAACTATACAGTGTAACATCAGTATTTAACAGATACGACTGAAAGGAAAACAGCAATTCTAGTGGTGGGTATCTCTGATGGTTGGGATTAAAGGTGATTTCTGTTTTTGTTTTTTAAATTTATTTATTTATTATTATTTATGCCTATAGCACCTGGTCTTCCTAGGTGGTCTTCCATCCAAGTACTAACCAGGCCCAACCCTGCTTAGTTTCCAAGATCAGACATCGGGCTTGTTCAGGGTGGCACGGCCATAGACCGTGGACTGTAACGCTACTGGGGCGTGAACCCAGGACCTTCTGCATGTAAAGCAGACGTGCTAACTGCTACACTATGGAACCACGTCCAATTCCTGTTTTCTCTAAAATTTTCAGTTTCTATCCTCCTCCTTCTCCTCCTCCTCTCTCTCGCCTCCCCCACCCCTTGAAAAAGGTATTACAATTTTATCATCAGAAACACATACATACACACAAAGAAACTTCCCTTTGGCTAAAACTTTGTTCTCTCATTAAAAAACAACGACAACAACAGCAGCAATAAAGTGACCTCCTCTTTTACTTCCACAGCCCTCATCTTCTTTAACTATTTTTTAGTTCTACACAGAAGCCCCCTTAGACCTCCTCATAAAGGTGTCCCCTTCCCACACCCCCTTCTGCACTTACAGGGCTGATCACCAACTTCTCCAAGAGCACTTACATTAGTGTCACAAAATCTATACCTGCAGCAGAACCATGGTTAAATAGCTATGCCCACACTAAGTAATTGTTATTAATGCATTTCCTTGTAGCCGAAGCTTTTCTACTTAGCCTTAAACTTCACTGAAAGGCAGTTTGGGGGAAATTTTTATAAAATACAAGTAATTGACTAACTTTGATAAGCAAAGCATTTCTCCCTTCCTTGATATAATCAAGCACTCTTCCCTAACTTAAATGTTACCTGAAAATCCTTACGGGAATATGACACAAAATGGGTCAAAATGCTTTCAGCACCTGCTGGCATTTTAAACAAAGTTCTGGAGCTGTCTTTCTCGAAAAGCAGTTTGGTCAGAAAGTTTGTGAGCTTGGGCTGAGCCACTCTTGGCTGTCTGGCCTTAGGCAAGTCTCTTAACCTCTCTGAGCTGCAGTTTTTCTCAAAAATGAATGAAAACAATCGTATCTACCTCCTATTATATTTTGGGATTTTAATGAACTAATACAAGTAGAGCTCAACATAGTGCAAGACACAGTGTCAAAATCTGAGGTACAACGCTGCTGCTGTTGTCATCATCATTGAAAGATACTGCGGGATGCTTGACTTAGATAAGTCCTGGATGGACAAACTATACATTCTCTCTCTCTCTCTCTCTCTCTCTCTCGCACGCACGCGCGCACACACACACACACTCACAGTTATCAAGAAATTATGCAAGTTTGGTTCTCAAAGTCAGTTTAACTCCTACAGAGCTTGAGAATGTTCTTCCTTCTTCCTGGGGTCTCTATTCTGAAGCTCAAATAAGAGGTGTTTAACTCTGTGGTGAATCTGATCTCGAGGCCTGATTCCTGACTCCTCCCTCTACTTCCTAAACCAACTCCGGGACCTCTGCTCTTCTAGTCAGCAGACAATGACACTTCAGAGCAAAGCTCCACCTAGCCTCTTTTAAGTTCTCTGAAACCTACTTTATACTATTTTTTTTTAATCCTTTCTTTATAAAATAATGAACAAGTAAACCTCAGCCTATCCCCTGTATAGATGCTGGCAAATTCCCATTTAATGTAATCAGGAATTGATTGCACCTTTCAATTGTCAGATAGTTATCAGGCACCTGTGAAATACAAGACATTGTGCTAGAGACCCCGAGGGTGGAGAGAAAGAAGGATATAAAACAACACCTGCCCTCCAGAAACATTTGTTGAATTGAGGACAAGGGACAAAAGCTGGAAGAGCCAAGTCACTTAGGAACAGTCATCCTAACCCAGCAGCTACTACTGGTACACCAGGCACAGTATTGGGCACTTTGCAGACGTTTTGCCTAAGCTTCACCTCAGCCCAGCAAGTAGATATTTTGTCCCCACTTTACAGATGAGAAAATGAGGGACTCCAGAAGTTAAGTAACTTGCCCAGGGCACACAACTTTTCTGAGCCGTGATTCACAGCCAGGTCTGTGGGATGACAAAAAACTCATTTCCTTTCCACAACTGACACCCAAAAGTGGCTCAGGCCAACAATATCAAATACATCCCAAGGTGGTCCATGGATTGACTGTCAGCTGGGTGTCATGACCAGTATATGTGGTAGGAGATCACAGGCCACCACCCTAGACAGGCTTGGCCTGGGAAGACCTGACTCTTGACTTAAACCCCCTACCCGAGAAAGCTCCCTGTCCTTTTATATGGCCCCTTATTTACTTTCACAGATTTACTTAAGAATCAGGTTTGCCATATCCCTGTCTACAAACTGAAAATCTGAGGCACATGAAGATGAATTAGCCTAGACCTCAGGTGGCTGGTGGCACGGCTAAGGCTGTATACCTGAGATGCGGTGTCTGCTCAACAACACTGTCATTCCAGTGACCCCCACCTCAATCCTCCTCCTCAGCGCTTACTGTAGAGGAAAAATTTCCTGAGCCTTCTCATGCTTATTCTAGTCAGCTGTGTCGGGGATTCTAAGTGTGGTCCCCAGAGCAGCAGCCTCCGCATCACCAGGGAACCTGTTGGAAATGCAAATCTAAGGTCCCACTGATTAAGAAAACCCCAGGTGGGGCCCAGCAATCTGTGTTTAACAAGCCCCCAGGAGATTCCAATGCAACCAAGATCTGGGAACCACTGAACTAAATGGGGAGAACCATGCCACTCCCTTGTGCTGTGCCCATGTGAAATGTAAAATCTAGGCAGCCACCTTAAAGAGTTCTATGCCTCGCATTTGCACCTCATCAGTTAAAAAAAAGAAAAAGAAAATACAAGCAAGAAAACTCCTGCTGACCCCTCCTGTTCCCAACCTGACTCCGACACATTCTCCAGCTCCAAGCTCCAAACTCCAAATCTTGCACAGCTTCTTCCCTCCCCAGCCTTACCTCTTCCAATTTAGTCTGTCTGCAGGGAAAAGAAAAGGTCAGGCCAAGGGGAAATTTCTTATTCTTCAACCCTTTGGTCTTCACGAAATCTGCCACGCAGTCAGCTACATATACAAACAGCTGCAGAGAAGAAAAAGCACAGGATACTGGGCTAAGGCATGGCCGCTCATAAACGAGATGCCCAGGCCTTTCCCCTACGGCACAGAGCCCCTGCCCTGGTACCTCTGAGCCGTTCCCTTGGATAATTTCATTGGGTGTTGGGTAGAACTGACTCTCCATCTGGACTTTTTGTTTCCCCTCTTCAGAGACTTGCACCTTCAGGACTCGAAACTTGGATCCTCCAAGATCTAGGGCAAGAAACTCGCCATTTTCTATTTAAACAAACAAACAAACAAACAAAAAGTTAACATTTATTGAGGGTCTGCTATACGGCAAGCTCGGCATTGGAAGTTGAACATGTAAGAAATATTGTTAAGTCTCACAAGCACCCCATGAGGTAGGTATCATTACACGCACTTGCTGAGACTCCACAAGTGCAGCCATTGATCTGAGCCCTCTCAGTAAGGGGCAGAGCTGGGGTGTGAGCCAAGTCTCTCTGACCCTGCAGCCTGGGCCCTGACCTCTGGGATATGCTGTGGGGAATAAGTGTGCTCCTCCTGAGAAGGTAAATGGAAACTGCAGGCAGGTAGTATTAGAGATAGGCCTTGAGGGTGGAGCCTATTCTCGCATGCCACAACCAGGAAGAGAGCTGGTCCTCCAAGCACAGGGATTGAGAGTGGCGGGTAGGGTGGCGGATAAGGCATGGAGGAAAAGGTGGGAGGAGAGCAGAGAAGAGAACCAGCTCCACTACAAGCCTCTGTGTCACAGGCAGAGGGAAAATGCTCCAGGAGGGAAGGGAGACAGGGACCAAATGATGGTCCTTAAAGGCCAAGGATGCTCAATATTTGGGGCCAGAACCACTCCCAAATGAGAAAATGCGACACGACCCAGCCCAGCTCAAGATGGATGGTATTAATAAAAAGGTGGAAATGAAACACATATTTTGGGGCAAGGCAGTCCACCTTGATGACTTCAACTCAAATCCAGACAGAATTCCTGCCCAGGATCCTTCCAGTGTCTTCAGTGTCAGTCACAGGTATGGAATGGGAACGCAGATGTGAAACAACAAGACTTTGTATAGAATTATCTGTACCTAAAAGTGGCTACAGGTACCAAGCATGCTTCATGATATGTGCCCGAGGTATGCATAAGTAAAACTCCATGCCCACAAATCTGACAGCCCAAGTGACTTTGTTTTGGACCATGTGACCCCAGACAGGGCTGCATGGATCTAAGGAGACAGCTGGCCATTCAGTTTCACTCTTTGTGAAAGAAAACACAGAGGGAAAAAATGAAATGGAAGCATCCTGAAAACCGGAGGTCAGCAGGATAGCCGGGGTGGCCACACGGATGTAGGCTGAAACCATGGAGTAACCCCAGTTCCCTCAAGGCCTGAGTGGGCTACAGTTCCTGCCCTCAGAGTCCCACGAGGTCCTCGTGTCTCCCTTCTTTGTTATGTGTCCTTGCAATGAAAGAGCTAGAGACAGGCTCTCACGATGCTTTTCAAACTTTAATGTGCATGTGAATCTTCAAGAATTTTGTTAACATGAAGATTGTGATTCAGTGGAAGTGGTGCTTGAGATTTTGCATTTCTAAACAAGCTACCGGGTGCTACTGCTGGTGTGTGGACTTGTTAGAGTAGCAAAGGTTTAGAGTCCTCCTTTACAGATCCAGCCAGTTGGATCTTTTGTTTTTGTGGAAACATCTGGAAAGCAAGGTTCTTAACTCCCTAGATCAGCCCTAAAAGGAGCCTGATGGAGCATTTATTATTATTCAAGGAGAGAATCCAGGAACCTAATCCTGAGCAAATTTTATTAGCATTCATCATGTACCAAGCAAGAGATGCTTTCACAGATGTTATCTTGTGTAGGAAGTAGGGTAGATCACACAGTCCATATATGAATATTTACTGAGTACGAGTCTGAACCAAGTAACAAGCCAGGTGCTAGGGATGCAAAGATGAAAGACTTTGGGAGCCTATCAGAAATACAAGCAAGTCATTTCCATACAGTAAGGAAAGTCCTCTGATCATGGGAAGCACAGGGAGCGGTATCTAAATCAGAGCAGGAGTCAACAACCCAGAGAAGGAGATGCAGAGCTGAGTGGCTGAAGGATGAGCGGGAGTCAGACAGTAAGACAGGGAAGAGGTGGGGTCCCAGGGAGAGGAAACCGTGAGCAATGAGTTCACATTGGGGGGTGGGAGGGAAATCTGTGCTTTTAAGAAAGAAAGATGTGACAGAAATGAGGCTGGCAGGTAGTCTCAGGTTAAATTAGGAAGGATTTAGAAAAGCTGCCCCACTCCTCAAGGAGCTTGGGCTTTATCCGAAGTGAGGGGGAGCCACAGAAAGATTTTAAGCAAGGGAGTGCCAAGATCTGATTGAGATTTTGAGACAACACTTATGGCACCAACCAAGATAGACTGAAGGATTTTAATAAAAGAGGTTCTTGTGCTGCAGCCCAGGTTGGAGATGATATACGAGACCTCGTGCAGTGTTGGCATGGACTCATTCGTTCCTCCAGCCACCAGCACCGTCATCACTCTACAATTATCTTACTCCACCGGTGACTCAAGACACTAGTTCACGGAAACCACGCGATACGATCCCTTCTGTGACTCTGACCCCAGAGAAAAGACTCGTTGGACCCCAGAGGAGGAAGGACCAGCCCAGAAGAAGGCAACAGCGGCAGTGGGACCATCAGGCTCTTTACAGCAATGATTAAGATTATTATAACCTCCCATCATAGAGATGTAATGTATAGCATGGTGACTATAGTTAATAATGCTGTATTGCCTATTTGAAAGTTACCAAGAGAATAGATCTTAAAAGTTCTCATCATAAGAAAAAATTTTGTAACTATGTACAGTTATGAATGTCAACTAGACTTGTGGTGATTGTTTCACAATATATACAAATATTGAATCGCTGTGTTGAACACCTGAAACTAATATATATGTCAATTATATCTGACTAAAAAAAAAAATTAAAAAGAATATAATTTTAAAGAAAAGAAAATGACCTCCAAGAGGGTGAGATTTCTTTGACAATCCACCTTCTGTGGATGACGCTTCCATGACGTTTCAGTGGCTCCAGGCTGTGGACTTTGGGGTTCCCTTCTCCTAAGCCACTGCCAAGGCTTGTGCCTCTGCTCCTTCCTCATTCCCTAGTGTAGTATCTTGCAAAGGCACACAACAATTGAATGTGTAGATTCCTGGAGATTCAGAATTTCCATGGGGTGAAGCCTGGAAAACCATATGCTTAGAAATCGCCCTAGGTGAGTCTTATGCTCTGGCAAGTTTGGACCCCTGTCCTAGTGTAGATCCCTGGGCCTGTCAGCCAACTACCTCGGGGCTCCCCAGGCTGCCTAGAGGAAGAGGCCAAGCAGAGAAACAGGTGGGATCAGGCCCACAGAATCACAGTCGCCGTCACAGTCAAGTGATGGGCACTTCCTCATGACTGGTAAAAGAGAAGGCACAAATGATAACGCTTTAAGGCACTTTCTAAGAACAGCCAATTGCAGCTCCCTGACTGAAACACTGGGAGGTAACTAAGGCTCAGTTTACCTCCTCTCAGGCAGATTTGCATGAAAAGAGGGAAAATTACAGAGAGTGGGTGAATGCAAAAGGATTTCTTTGGAAAATGCATACATTTCTGAAATTGAGGCCCTAAGGGATTAGGAGAGTTCTATTTATTTGGTTTTATTGTTTAGTAATCATGAAATTACACCACCAGCTCACAGGAGCTATGGCAGACTTGGGACAACATTTTGAAGATTTTAAAACACTTTTTCCACGTGACCTCATCCGATTGCAACGACGCTGCAGGTTGGTAGGACAAACTGGCCACATCCCTTCTATTGATAAGGACAGGAGCACAGTGGTCCTGGCTCCATAGAGACTTTGGGCTCAGGGACTTCGCTGCCTCAAGATCACTGGTAAGATTTATTGTGGGATGAGAGGCTCTGGGGAGATCGGAAGAAAAGAAAGGAGATGGTATGTCCTGGCCTGGGGAGGAGGGAGTTCCTAAAACCTGTTCAGTTTCATTTCTGAACTTTCCTAAAGGAGCCCCGGCCAAGAAGGCGCATCTGGCTCGGCATCCTCGATGTCACCAAAGGCCATTTTCCCTTTCTTCTGAGGACACACCCCTACAGGAGGAGCCGCAGCACAGGAAGCCAGGAGGACTTTAACCTGGTGCATCCCACTTGCATATGCACGCCCTATGATTCAGGTGCTTCTTCTGAATAGCCTTGGATGACCCTACAAGCAGCGCAGTCCCCTGAGCACTCTCAGAGCAGTGTCAGGAACCAGGAGAGATTTCAAAGTAGGACTGTCTCTCTCCAAAGCTTACGTTCCTCCAGGGTGTACGCTGCCCACCCTGCACACCACCCTCTAGCAAGGGAACAAGTCCTTCTCATCGCAGTTCCCAGTGGCTTCGCAAACAGCAGAGCCAAGCTTTGACCCAGGCATTGTCCCAAAGGGGCCCAGAACCTGGCTAATCCAATCGAAGGCCCCTGAGAACTCCCCAAACTTCAATGCCTCCTCCTTCTAGAGCCTGAAAGCCCTTGCTGGAGCTTGGTTGGAGCACTGGGACCCTGGCACTGGCAAGTCCCTTGGTCCTCAGTACTCTCATATGACCTGGGGATAAACAACATTTATCCCATGGAGTTCTTATGAGGTGTGTGAGACGGTGAGTCCCCAGCACCCCATGATCACAGGAGTTGCTTGGTAGATATCAGTTCCTTTCCCTCCTGTGGCTTTCCCAGGGCTGAGAATGGAGGAGTTGGATGGAATCTCATAGATTCTTTTTAGAGGTCTCTAGACTGTGATAAGCGAAATAATGGTCCCCCAGAGGTGTCCACATCCTAATCCCCAGATTCTGAGAATATCTTAGTTCACAGGGCAAGAGGGAATTAAGTTTGCAGGTGGAATCGAAGTTGCTCTCATTTGACCCTGAGGTTGGGAGATTATCTTGCATTACTTGAGTGGACCTAAGGTAATCTCAGGGTTTTTAGATGTGGAAGACACAGAAGGGAGAGTCAAAGAGAGATCTGAAGATGCTACACTGCTGAGTTGGAGATGGAGAAAGGGGTGTGAGCCAAGGAATACAGGCAGCCTCTAGAAGCTGGAAAAGGCAAGGAAACAGATTCTCCCCTAGGGCCTCCAGAAGGAACACAGCCATGCCCACATCTTGATTATAGCTCAGTAAGACCCATTCAAACTTCTGACCTCCCCAGCTATAAGAGAATAGATTTGTGTTGTTTTAAGCTGCTGAGTTTGTGGTCATTTATTACAGCAGCAGTAGAAAACTAATACATAGGCCAACTCTCTCATTCTACAGATAGAGAAACTAAGACTAAACTTTTTGCCAAAAGTCACTGAGAAATGACAGAGCTGAGCCTACAACCCAGGTTTTTCGAATTGTCATTTAATATCCTTTCTACTATATCGTGCTATCTTCTATTCCTTACTATAGATAGCCTAGAATCTAGATACCTAGGAGTAAAATGCCATTTCTTATCCAGTCAATAAATATTTCAGAGCCTAATATTGATCAGGCACTATGTTAGGTGCTCAGAACACTGTGGTGAAGAAGACACAGACCTCACCTTCATGGGGTATTGGTCCAGTGGGGAGACTCTCATACACAGCAGGGGGATAGGTGTGCTGAGAAGCACCTAACCCAGCATGGGGATGCTTTCCTGCTGGAGGCAGTGATCTCCACACTGAGATTAAAAAGCTAAATTGGTGTTCCCCAGTGGAAGAGTATTGAGATGTTCCAGCAGGAGAGGAAACAGAATGTGTAGGGCCAAGGCAGGCAGAGAGAAAGCAAGGTGCATTTGAACTCTGGTTCAAAACCTTTAGTATTGAATATGACTAAAGCATAGAGAGTTGGCGAGGGGTGATGAGGAGAGAGGGGTAGAGCAATAACCAGAGTACAGGAGCAAACTTCAGGTACACACCAACCAAGAAGGAAGCAGGGGAACCAGAGTCCCTGGCAGCCCCCAGCCCCACTCACCTGAGCCATCTGGAATGGCCCTGACAAAGGTAGGCAGCATCTTCACTGAGGCTGTGGGGTTCGTGTCCTTTCCCAGGCCCTTCTGCATTTCAGCCTGGAAACGAGTCATGATGTCCAAAAGGGTCTCATCGGAGAGCCGCATGTGATACAGGAACCTGTCCACCTGGAACAGACACCAGGGTAACCAGGGTTGGCTGCTGGGGGCACTTGCCCTCCAGTCAAGGCGGTAAATTCCCATTCCCATGATGAAGCTGCATGGGGACAGCTACATGATGTAGATTCCCAAAGGGTCCTTGCCTGACCCCTCATCAAGCTGGGGACAAGGTGGGGAGTTGGAGGAACAGAATGGAATGGAAATCTGGGGCAAGTGGAGAATTATTCCTCCAAAGGGGGAAGCTCTGAAGAAGAAATGATTCCTCAATTTTTCTGAGGGGACAATAGAGAGGAAAAAACTAAGAAAGATCCAGGGTTTCTAATTCCCAATTCTAGCCCTCACCATTGTCCCATTGCTTCTCCACTGGAAAAGACTAGCTATAGCTTAAACCTTGATTCCTAAACATGGAAGCTGTCTTATGTCCAATGATGACGTATACATCCAAACATGTTTCCCTTTGTTTATGGGCTGCTGGGAAGCTCAGAGCTAAATTCAGTCTCCAACTGCAATATCTAAAAGCTAGTCCTTTAAATTTCCATTTTGTTTTCATCTGAGGTTGTTCTAATTAAGATGAAGTTTAATTTTTAAAGCCAGCTCCAATTGCTATTGGAAATGAGTGGATGCGACTCAAGTACCAGAAAATTGGGGTATAGGAACCCCCACAATGGGAAGGAAGTTATAAAAATTACTATGGCTGTGCTTACTCTACTTGAAGGCAGTATGTCACATTGGGATGGTAGCTTCTTCTCCCTTGCAATTCATTGGTTGAGGGCAACCTGGATTCTCAGCACTCGCTGGGATGGATTATTGACCAGGGCAGGAAGAGGGACGGTGGCATAAGTGCCCTGTATTTGTCACCCCTTTGTATACTGAGTGGCCCCTCTACCCATCCAAGTTACAAGGAAGCTTTATCTCAGCATGTTCCTGGAGGAACTGCTCTCACGCTTTTATCTAAGACTAAGAACATGTGTTACAGTCTACCAAGTGCTTTCACATATGTCACCTCATCTAATCTCCATGACATTTGTTCGACACAGCCAGCTAAGGCCATAACTATTGTCTAATTGGGAGATGAGGACTCCAAGTCTCAGAGCCATGAAGCAGCATTAGGAGAGCTGCAGGTAAGTGGCAGTACCGGGACTACAATGCAGTATCCACAGTCCTGTCCCACAGCCTGTTTTGCTTTATGGTTTCACAGGACCCACAAGCCCAACAAATTATACCAAAAGTACATGGGCCACATGACCTTTATCATAGGACAGATGCCCCCAGCCATCAGCAAAGTCTAGAGGGAAGGCATCCCAGCTCAGCTGGGGACAGTATAGAGACCCAAGCCAGAGAAATGGCCCATGATTCCAAGAACTTGGGGGCCAGAGAGAAGCCAGAAAACCATCAGAGAGCCATTAACGAAACAGGACAATTGGGCTTTCAGCATATTTGAGAAGATAGGACGGAACCAGGTCATGCTTCATTAAGGGCTTCCTGTTCACCCTGAGTCTGTTTGACTAATTGGTTGGCACTGCCATGAACACGGAGAAAACCAACGAAAGGGATGTGACCCAAGTAATTGGGGCTTGGGAAGGGTAAGATGTACTACATGGGAACTAAACTCGCTCCTTTATCACCCCAAGCCCCTCAGACGGTGCCCCTGAACCTATTGCTCATTTTCACTCAGCCCCCGAGTATAAAGAACTTCTCTGAGCAGTCACGTAGTGTCATCCCTTCTGTGTAAGTAATGGTTTTGAGGCCCTGTTTGGGTCATTTGCAAGGTGCAGTTTAATAGTCATTCAGGACTTTGGGTTACTGCTCCTACTGTTAATACATTAAAGTAAGGGCAGAAAGAATGTTGACTTAGCAACAGTTTCTTGTTTATTCCTTGTATCTTTTGCAGCTCCTAGTACAGTAGCTAGAAGGGAAGAATAAAACATATGCAGGGATCCAAAAAAAACCCTGTATTTTAAATTCGGATAGGTGATTTGGGTGGGGCCTGTGTAACCAGGCACACATGTCATGGGCACTAAAGGAAGGTGCTTAAGTTGCAGAAACCAAGCTCATTTTTGGAGTGACTCACAAACCACATGGGATATCTTCTAAACAAAAGAGCCAGCAAGCAGCACATTTTACGTAGAAAGAGCAAAATTTTAAATGTAAGTTCAGAGTTTACAGAATTACAGGATGTGGGAGCCCAAGGGACATTACAGCTCACTTAGTCCAAAGGTCCTGTATGAATCGAGAGTCATAAAAAGGGTCAATTCTTTGACCCAGCAATTTCACTACTGAGAAGCCATCCTTAGGAAATGATCCCAAAGGTGGAGAACATTAAATACATACCAATGTTTATTGAAGCAATTTTTAACTGTTGGAAAAAATGGTTTTGAAATAGCCTAATGTCCAAGAAGCGGGTAAAGTACAGCGTATCCAACTTGAATGAATATTAAGTAGAAAGTAACATGATAGTTATAAAGAAATGGAGAAATGTGCATAAGTAGTTACAATATAACAATAAGGAAAGGACACATGTCCAATATGAATATAACTGTGAAAACACACACTGTGAGAAAAGACTACAGAGGCTTCCACACGGCAAATATGAGTGTTTGAGAGAGGGGTGGGATTGAAGGTAACATTTCCACTTTTCATAATGTTGACTTACTAAACTGTAAAAAGGACACTCTGAAAACCTAACCAGTCCTTCTCTTATGAGTGAACAATCTACAGGTCAGTGCCCAGGCCCAGTCCAATGTTATCAATAGGTTAAATAATGTGAATATATTGAATTGGAAGAAAAGCTGTCGTAGTAGTTTCTCCTTTCTTTTCTTTCTCTTCTTTCCTTCTTTCTCTTGCTTTGTTTTTGTTTTAATGCTGGTATAGGGAGATTTTAGAAAGTTGTTCCAGGGTCTGAATAGTAACCCTAGCAGGCAAGTAAAGCCCAGGATCTTGATAAGCCCAGAGGCAGGAAGCACAGGAACTAAGGAGGGACTGGCTACCTGACCCCAGAGAAAAAGCCTGTGCCATTTGACCGGTATGGAATGAATGAGTCAGTGTTCTCAAAACCTGTGACTCATAGCAGCAACCCATAAATCAGCCTCCCATCCTACCCCAGACACTTGTTGGGTCACTCGCTTAAGGTGGCTGCAAAGTGTTCCTGAGTTCCCCATTCAGCTCACTCTCACAAGCTTCCCAGAGCAGGAAGGGTCAACTCCTAGCCTTGGCAAAGGCTGACCCTCCAGCCAGAAGGGCCTGGAACACATCAGTGGAGGCTGCGTTTCCAGTCAAAGGGACATCCTGAGATGGCACCTGGGTTGGTGGACAAACACTTCCACCCGACTCTAGGGTGTAACAAAAAATTCACCACCAAAAAGAAGCCCAAGGAAAGGAAACTAATTTGCAGAACTTCAGGTGTCAAGTTCTAAGCCTTCCCCTTTGGAGACTGGAGAGACACCATGCAGGTTGCATCTTCACTAAGCAGGTAATAACAGAGTGAATTCTTAAGCAGTACTGTGCAGCATGTTTCTGCCTCCTTAAGAAGACAATAAAGGTGGAAGCTAACCAACAAATGTAAATTAAGGCAGGGTATAGCTGATTGATTTATACTTTAAGATCTGCTACAACCTCTACCCAAACTGTAATGAACAGGATTTAGTGGGAGTTTTTCCCACCAAGCACATGAGGACTGTAAGGAACCATCCTCCTCTGAAAAGCCAGGAAAGAATGCAGGAGTCGTCAGTGACTTTGGTTTAATCCCCCCAGTGCCACCTTAAATACCTGGATTACCTTGGCTAAGTCTGCCTGCTGGGAGGACTTTCATTAATTGTAAATTGAGAGATGTTACAGTGAATTGGTGTGGCTAGGGTGGCAGACTGGGTTTATTCCAGGCTGCCAGGAGAGGATGCTGATGGCCTCCTGCTGAGCCTTGCCAACTTTTAACCAGTCCAGTTTGGAATGAATTTTGTTGGTGGGTTTCTTGGGCAAAGTGGCAAAATAATGCACACCATTAATAGCATATCGTTGGCAAACAACACATACCAGTAATACATATTTTGGTTATTGTACATTAAAATTCACATTCCTCTTGGTGCCCTATTTATGTTCTTCAATCACATGAAAAATCATGTGAATTACTTTAAAAGTTCTCAAAATGTCTTTTAAAATGACTCTCCTCTCCTTTGTAACCTTTCTCCACAAACATCCCTTACATCCCTTGCCATCCAGTATCTGCCAAGGGATACTGAAATTCCAAGTGAAATTCAAAGCTCAGGACAATAGGCAATGCCTAGCCTGTGGGAAGTTTACTCCCTCTTACACTTCTACGAGTTTTTTGCTTTGTTTTGTTTTTTAACTGTCCTGTGCTCCCTGTATGTTTTCTAATAAGCTCTCTTAAATCTTTGTGGATATAGGCAGGATATCAGGTCAGTAAAGAACGAAGCAGACATCTCTCAGCTTTGTGAGTCCTTACCTTCTTAATCTGATCCTCCTTCAGCTTGGTGAAGTAAAATGCCATCAAGTGTACCGCAAACATTTTTCCCAAGTTTGGTTTCTCCTGAGATGGGCAGAGATTTCTGTGCCGTGTTTACTTACACGTCTCCGGAGTACTGCCCACTTCTAGCTCAGGCTGGAGGCCTCTGGGGAACTAGGTGCTACAGATTAAATACTTCCAGGCTGCTTAGTTCAATGATTAAACTTCGCCCCCTCTCTCTGGTCCCTCCCTCCAGCACACTTGATTGCCTAACAGGAGGCTTAGGATGGTAGCCAGAGGCTTGGTGGAAGAGACAGGGGATGGGTTGCTTGACTCTTTTGAGACTCTGGTGACACAAAATCTTGTTGCTAAGCAACACTCGCAAGCCAATGCTCCACCAAGCCCACTCAGCCGAAGAAAATCTGAGAAGTTGGGTGTTAAACAATACCAACTTTCAAACAGCTGAGCTGTTCTGCAAATGTCCACTCTCAAGCTTTTCTCTTTAGCCCTTTCTCTTCAGCTCAGCAGTATAACTCCGTGACTCCCTGCTCCTCTATAGCACAGTCTTAATTCAAATTAAATATTGCCCTGGTCAGGGAGATTTCAAGAATGTTGGGACAAATTCCTCCATTTGTGACAGATCAGATCTCTTAGCTAACAGTCCATGGTAATGGAAAATAATTGATTAAAGTTTATCTAATCACAATGCTAAGCTAGAAAACCTCATTTCACAGGTAGCGACCCAGAAAAACACATGCAAGAGAAAGAATGAACTGAAATAACCAGTACTCACTGGGAAGTTGCTGCTGGAGAGAAAAAGTGAAGTTACAGAAGGGAAATGCCTCGTGCCACTAAGATATTTGGTTTATTCACTTGATTATCTCACTCATTATACTTGATATGAGAAGGACCCAGAAAGAGGCCAATGCCTGGGTACAACAGACCTTGTATTCTTCCCACAGTTACTGTTATTTATTAACGAAATCAATAACAATGGTGTTAACAACAGCAGCCAGCTAACAGAGACGAAGCATTTACTATTCCCATTTTTTAGAGGAGAAAACTGAGGCCCAGAAAGGTTAAGTGACTTACTCAAAAATCACAAAGCTTGTAAATGGTACAGTGAGGACTCAAACAGTTCAATTCCAGAGCCCAGCTCTTAACTAATACAATATATTGCCTCTATTCTTTCTCCATGCAATAAATGCTCAACTGAAAACTATTAGTAGCAGTACCATTCTGCTGGTTATTATCAAGAATTCCAACTACTCGGAAAACTATGTACAGACATTTCACTTCAGCAAGGTCTGCCCAGAGGGGGGAAAAGGCAAATGAAGGAATTCGTGACTGTAACTTCTCAATGAAAGGCTTCCTAAAATTAGCAACTGACTAGATGTTAATGAAGGTCAGCTGGGCACCCCAATATTTCTTGCTCCTACACACCACCTCTTCAACAAAAGGGAAAAAACATGTTTTCCTCGCCAGATTAGCAGCCTCAGCTCTATTTACTTTTCTACTGCACAATCTCATTAATCAAAACCATTACCAAACAACTGCCTGGTGAGAGAACCTTCAACAGCTGTCTCTCCAAAAACCACTGATTCTCCAATCAGTGCTCTTTACCCATCCATCATGTGTGTGAGCCATTGCTAGCCAAGCTTAAGCCCACAGTGCTTGATTAAAATTACTCCAGATACTTTTCTAGATTGATACCTTGGAAATAAATATCAGATACTGTCTCTCACATCGAGAAACCCAATCTTCTTCAGCCTGTTTACCCCTCAGACTATGAACTCTTTTCGGTCCTTTACTTTGCCTATTTTACAAGCAAATAAAGGTTAACCTTCAGTTGTTGAAACTATTTAGCTCCCCAAACCATGTGGAATTGTTGGTATTCCGAAACAGGTGTGTTATGCTTGAGTCTACACAGGCTGAGGAAAACATCCTGGGGCAGGTCACCTGCCCACAAGTGGTAACAGTACTTGTCCATCCATTTAAAAAGTAACCTCTGTGATGCAGTATGGCACCAACTGATATTGATTTAGCCAACACAGGGATAAGAGGTTACAATGGCCAGTAGATAAAAGGACATAAAGCTATAACCAAAGGTCTCTGCAATCTCATGGCTGCTTGTGTGCACCAGATAGGCAGCCTTTAATCAGGCAAATGACACCAGACAATTTCCATCTCTTACATCATTCCATTTTTTTCTCTAAGCAGATCAGCATTTACATTATAGGTCTGAGTTAATCTACTAAACCAGGAAGCTTAATGATTATAAAGATCGTATGCATTTGGAGTCATCTAGCTCAACCCTCTCACTTTATAAAGACGAAAATAATTCAATTATTTTATCATTCTTCATCTGATTATTCCAGTCAAAGCTTTGGAACATTTTACCCTTATTAAAGCTCTATGTAGCTATTCAAAGATATGAGTGTAAGTCTTATAAGCTTAGGTCCCGTGTTTCCCTGTGCTTTACTTCCAGGTTGGTGAGACCAGATTTTACTTAAAAAACGCCCATTGGAGGGTTGGCACTGCCAAGTGACATTTTAAAGTATATGACCTATCTGATCCAAATCTTCCATGTGAGAGGGGACATGCTCTCACCTCTATTCATGTTTCCATAAAGCTCTTCCTTTGGCAAGTCCTAAAGAAAATATCTGCTTTCCTTTAAGTCCTGAAAATGGTAAGAGGACTAAAGTCCAGTAGGATTCACCTACTTATTCAATAACACTTGCATAATATTTACTAGGTGTTTTTCAATATTAATTCCCAGAGCAACTATCATTCTCTCCATTTTACAAATGGAGAAATGAAGGCACACAGCACAATTGTACATCGTGGAAAAGATATTTAAATGTGGGTAGTGTAGCTCCAGAGTCCATGCTTAATCACTGTGATACACTGGTCTCACCAACCTGGAAGTAAAGCACAGAGAAACACGGGACCTAAGCTGGGACAACCAGTCCAAAGCTGGTAGCACAGTGGCAAGTGCATAGGCCCTGCGTAACCACCTTGGCTTTGCCCTCACTGGGCAAAGTTCATATCTGTAAAGAGTTCATAGTTACCTCAGTGGTCGTTATGAGAATGAAAGTAAATTAGATCACAAAGGGAAGGCATGTGGTCCACAGTGGGCACCCTAAAAGCATCCTTTTAATCTAAGCCTTCGCATGGGTAGGGACCCCTTCTAAAGTTGCCATTTCATCTCATCCCATTTGGTCCCTTAGGATAAAAAAATGCACATGGCCCTTTCAGTACATTCAGTAAAACATAACCACAAACCATTAGAAAGTACCAGTTCCATTTACTGAAATTATATGAACGGTTAGGAATTTTATATTCTATTCCTGTTACTAAAGAAAATAGAGCTTGAATTCCGCCCCATATTCTTTTTAATAAGTCCAAAGTTGTCCATAAAATAAATCAGTCCAACCTGCTAGTATTCCATTTGATACAAAAGAAAGTGTCAGAGAGCAAACTTTTATGAAAGAGTCAATGTAGACACTTCCAAATCTTGCCAGCAGTTACAGTTATTATGTAGTCTCTATAGGAGAAACCACAAAGGAAGCATAAATGTTAACCTCGGCAAGTTTCAAAAGAATGCTAATTTTTTATAGGTTTATTCCTGACCCAAGAGAAGATAGGGAATGCAAGTGTATACAATTGTTTATCCCAACTGTATATTAAAAGCTGTATTTGCAAAATATATATCAAGGAAAGATAAGTCATACAAGAAAATGTGGCTTTTAACATTTTTCAAAGTAATCACAATCACAATTGCACAAAATAGCAAAACTTCTAAAAGCAAATGAGATGTATTTAAACATGGCATAAACCCTCTAGGACAAAGAGAAATGAAATAGTAATTGATAAGAGATCTTAACATAATTTTGGAAGACAGAAAGCTGACAGAAAAGTAATGGCTTAGCAGAGGAAACACTGAAATCTAAGTGCCTGCAGAAAGTGATTCTGCTGAGAAATGAGTGGTGATATTTTTAATGCTGAGGAATTGGGAGACCCAGATACCTCTGAAAATTGGGAGGCAACACATAGACCCCAAAAAAGACTGGCTAAAAATCTATATAAAAAAGGCAGTTAGGCCCCAGGTGTGCCCAAACCCCCACCCCTAGAGGAGACTGGGTGTTTATTCTTTGGAGAGATTGAACCCAACAGCCTCTGGACTTGGGACCATCAAACACCATGTAAAGTAAGAGTGAAGCACAAGCCTGAAAACAGGGCCACAAAGTGAAACTTTCAAGCGGAACAATGAGACCCCCAAACCAATTTTTTCTGTCTCATTTCCACCAGCAGACATCTATCTGGATACATCCCTTTCCTCCCTCACTGGGAAGAGTTGAGGGATCCATTTTCCCTCTGGTATAACTAAATTGCCTCAGAGGAAAATTTTAAAACCTACAGATATAGAAAAGGCAAAATTATAGAGATGGTAAGCAGAACAGTGTCTGCCAGCCATTTGGAGATGGGAGAAGACTGAATAAGCAAAGCAAGGGGAATGTTTAGGATAGTGAAACTATTCTGTATGATGTTGTAACAGTGAATACATGACACATTTGTCAAAACCCACAGGACGTAACAGCACAAAGAACAAACTTTAATGTATGTGAATTTAAAAAAATATTTAGGAGGTCAGGGATGTAATAAAGGCTGACAAAAAAAACCTAATTGTATTATAAATGTATGAAATAGCCTCACTTAAGAGGATGGTAAGATGCTGACCTAATAATCTTGGAAATGAGTGGGGTCAGCAAGACTAAAGGTAACAAGAACTAAAGGTAACAGGGTGTGTAGCACTGTACCCTGGTTGATAAAATTGTTTCCCCCGGGAGCATGGCTTAACAAATCTGCAACCACTATACACATATACTGGAATTGAGCAATTAAATAAATGGAGGATGGGTGGTGGGAGGTAGGTTTCTCACTGTCGGACTGGGAGATTATATACAAGCAAGGGGAGAAAGCTAGAATGCTTTATGTTACTTGAACAGTTGAGAACATCAGTATAAACTCACGTTTAGCTTAATATAGATAAATATACATACATATATTATATATAAATATTTGTAGGTATCTGTATATACATAGGTTAATACACTCACATATATTTCCTTGCTCTGTCAGCTGAGAAACCCTAGAAGCAATGACACCCAGTAGCAACAAACACACCCAGTGCCCAGACCTTGGTTTCTAATATCATCTAAAAAAATTTTTTTATAGAATTCTTAATTAGTTCCGAGCATTTTAAATTCAGCTAATAACAGCCTCTAAGAAAC